GTTCAGTCTGTGAAGGGAATGGTAACAAACTCGTTCGCAAATCAGTGAGTGTCTCTTCTGAGCTGCCACCTGTTGAAAGAGGGGAAGTTAGTCACTTTGAAACACTAAACAAATTATAGGAAAAGATGTATCAGTAGTCTGAGCTTTTCTTCAAGAAAAAGACAAACTCAGTTAGCATTTTTTATAACCCGAGGGAGAACTGATGATTTGATTCATGTCCTAATCTAAATTCTACATTCATTACTTTGTGGTGAAAACAGGAATTTAAACTGAAAGCAATCTTATCACAGCGCATGTCTCAACATGTGAGATCAGATCCATGCTGTCAAATTACATGTCTGTTCTTAGGTATTAAACATAGAAAAAGTGTAAAATCCGGAACACTTGTGCTAGTTTTTTCCATGACGTATTCCCAAGGCGAGCCCATGCAAAGGGGCGCAAATACATTTATAGGGTGAGAATTCACCTGACGACTTCAGGCAGTGTAGACACTTGTGCGTGTCTGCGGTACTGCTTCAGATTCCCTTTGTAGTTAGCAGGGGGAAATGGGTGCATACAGGACGCATTTGCTCTCTCCCTAAAGCAGGGTCTCGAAAATAAGCTGGATTAGTTATTCAATAATGTGCTTATTTCTCTACATTTTTACATATGTGGTTTTCTGCATGTGGTCAGGTGAATCATTCCAGAAATTTTCTGCATTGTGCAACTTACTGACCCTATATGAGGCACCTGTACTCTCTGCAGGTGAAGCACCGTAACCACGTCAGTGTACTGAAGGGTATAAACTAAAAGAGACTATTTTCCAGAAGGAGTTCTGAATTTATTGAGAGCACAGTGCCGGTTATGGCTTGCAATTTTTCAACCATGTCAGGCTGAAGCAAGTCAGATTGGCCTTCAGTCAGCTTTTTCCTCTTTGTGACACATTTTTTGTGTATCAACTTCCACAAGTGTCTTTTTTTGTTCAGTAAACAATGTAATCTGCTTCTTAGTCCTCAGATTCTGTTGAATTAGATTTGAAGAAAAAAAAAGTCTTCCAGCCAGCTATCTTTGAATAGCCAGCTGTTGGATTGAACCTGCAAATTCCAACCTCTGACCTTACAGAATGTCCTCGTATACATGTCAGAAAAGCAGTAGCTCCGTGTTTCTTCCTCATTGTAGTTTAACAAGTGCCCATTGAGTTTTCTTGAAGTGCTGTGTGGGGCAGAAGCTCGTGTTCAAATTCTTGAGGGTACCACAAGACACAGCCCTTGTCCTACTGCCTGGATGCATGATACAAAAGTCCTGGCTAATATTCACTGGTGGGAGACTTCTCTTCCTTATTCTTCTCTTCCTCACTGGCATCTCATGTGCTGGCAACTCCTGTTAGCAAAGGGAGCTCGTCCTGGTGTGTCACCATTGTAAAACTGGCCACTTGCTGGGGAATGGGGTGCCTGTGCTTTGCTAGTGCCCGTGAAATTGCTGTAAATAGTGGACAGGCTTCGAGGTAAAAGTGGAAACAGTTTACCCAACTGAAGTGAAGACTGTAAGAAATCAATTGCTCTACTTGAAGACAGTTACAGAAAAGTGGAACAGTTACAGTCTGCATTATGGGTGCAAGTTACCTCTGGGGAGATTCCAATTGGATACGAGGAAAATTTTTCACAATAAGAACAGTCAGCCATTGGCATAATCTCCCCAGGGAAATGTTCCCCAACATTGGACACTTTTAAGATTCAGCTGGACAGGGCACTGGGCCATCTTGCCTAGACCGTGCTGTTGCCATGAAAGGTTGGACCAGATGATCCTAGAGGTCCCATACAACGTGGTATTCTGCGTTTCTATGATTATTACTGCTCGTTCAGGTCTGGCTTCAGCATGGTTTCTTTTCCTCTGTTTTCTTTTCAGATAGCAGGCTCAAGCCAGACCAACTCCCAGGGTGACTGGTGGTTCCCTGGAGATGAGATATGGTTCTGCAGCTAAGCTTTGTCTTTTTAGTTGTTTCTTTCCCAAAATAGATTCTGATTTGGGATGAAGTCACCCCTTCTGTCCTTCTGATTTCTGCTTAGCATAAATTCACCCTCCTGGGCTTTAGTATTTCTGGATAAATCTAACTGTTTAAAAAGGTATCAGATTTTATCTCTAGTACACTCATCAAAAAGAAGGCCCTTGTACTGTGTCTTTCATCTGAGTGGATGTGGCCAGGCTTCACACTTGTTTGACTTAAACTATGTACACAGTGCAATCCCCAGTGGGCAGATAACAGAGGAAGAATTACATTACCACTGTGCTTAAATGCATAAGCTGTGTCCCGCACAGAACTTCAAAAGTACTTGCTATATGTGAATATATGTATATGAATGCTATTGAATGTGAGTCATTGATAAAACCAGGTATGATGGAAAAGAAATTGAGAGGTGATTTGTGTCTAATGTGAATGGGCCATAAGCATAGTTTGTTTGAAGTCGGGGGACACAATGATGGCATTTTCCTACCTGGATGCATGATTGTACAATGGATAATAGAGGTGTCAAGAGTTGAGTCTGAGTCACTGGGATAGTGATAAAATACCTGAAATGCAGATATATGCCAGTGGCAAAGCGTATGTACGTGAACCCTGTTGATCAGACCTCAGTGTGGAACCTTATTTCCTCTAGGTAAGGTCATAGAAATCATTGTGGTAACAGCAAGAGATGGGGTTGACCACCTGAGACTTCTGCTGTAGATGGTAGGACACACCTAGCCATGTAGATGCCAGATGTTCCCATGATGGTAGAGCACACCAGCATATGGAGGTGCCAGGTGTTCCCATGTCACACCTCCAGGAGAAGCAGTCCTAGGGAGCCCTGGGCTGCCCAGTTCCTGCCACTAGTTACAAGAGTTGAGTTTTCCAAGCCTTATTTTTTTAGACCAGTGATTTTATTTTAAGATATAGAAGGGATCAACGCATCTAGTAAAGTTCAAATTGATTAATTTTAGGGAATTTAATATGGTAAACAATTTTAAAAGATAGGTTACTTTTAAGTAATTTTTAGACTTTACCCGTGAAGCTGCTGTGCACTGTTACTGACTGCAAGAGTTGCTTGTTCCTGCAAAAGGTTTATGTTTATACTTGTATTTGTTTTACTTATTGGTTAAGCTTTTCTACCAGCAGAAGAGACATAGTTTGATGATTTCGTAATGTTTAAGAGAAAGAAATTGTGAGACATTTACAGCGAATCCTAAGGAAGTGAAATTTAAGTGTCTAGGATGTAAAATTTTATTGTCTAAGTATTGTCTTTTATGTCTAATCGTTGTAAATGTGGAAAAAACCCAACTGAGTTGAATAGTCTATGCGGGGCTTATAAAGGTGTGAACAAAGGGGTATCGGGATCTGGGAGTGTGGTCAGCTGGGTGGACAGGATGTTTCTCTGCACAGTTGTTTTGTTATTAATCTGTGAAGGTGTAAGTGTGACAAGCAGAATGCTTAAAACCAGTCAAGTCTGTCAAATGGAAATATCAGGAAGGAAACAGAAATGTATGTAGCTCACATGGCTGTTCTCATCAGTAAGGCAGGAAAATGCTGAGATGACATGTTGTCAGCTAGCCTAAAGACGCATTCTGGTGTCAAATAATTTAAGGTACATTGGGAAAGATTTTTCCCTCTGCAAAGGTCTCAGAAACATGTTTGTACTGAAATAATCCCTAAATTTGAAGAAAGGGGAATGAACTGATATTGTCAGCTTCGTGTTGTGAATAAATTTGTGTTCCTATGTGTCCTGGTTTGAGGACTTTGCAAGAACTTGTCTAAAACTTCATTATTAGCAGTGCTGGCAAATGCTAGATAACTTTGCTTGCACGGTGTCTGTGTTTATGCTGAGTGGGAGCAATGGGAAGTACAGGAATAGACTTTCACTAGTAAAGATTCACTGTTGCCCATAACTTAAAAAAATTTGTGTTATGTTTGTTCTTTTTGTTTTTAAACAGTTGTTACTGTGCTCAGTTTTAGTTTAGGAGCTTTCTTTCCTACAACTGCGTTTAAAGGCACACTTCATAAAAATCTCTTGATGACTTGTTCAATGAGTTGAATATATTTTTACTGAGAGACTTTCGGAGCTAGGCATCCTCGGGAGTTTCCTGGAGGATAATTTTGTATCCTGAAATATAGATAACTAGTCAGATAATTATATCTCAGTAAAGCCTTCTATTATTAGCCGTTCTTGCTCTAATATTTAGTTGTACTTCTAGAATTCACATAGCCTTTTGTCAATGCTTTGTATTTCTGCAGCTTTCAGTGCACAAGAAAATTTCCACTTGCCTCCCAATTACATTTTATTTTAAATTATAAACATATGCTGTGATATCCTTATGGGACTGTTCTGTGTAGTTAATTGCTATTTATGTATCACCCTGGAATTTTGATTTCCGGGATAATGATAAAAAATGCATACTTTGAGGAGTTTAAATATGAAGAAATTTTTTTTTTTTACTTTTTGCTAAAGGATAGATGCATAGAACCCTTTGTCATGACAGGACTAGCAGTTTTGGTCTCCGCAGTTCAATTTTCCTGTTGATTGCAAGGCATTAATATGTAAAAAGCTGTAAGCAATCTATTTGAAGAAACAGAGTTTTTAAGGGGAGGCTTGAATGGTTGTCAAAAGTAAGGACTGAGAAGGTACAGAAAAGCATACCCTTTATGTTCTGCTGCTGCTCATTTATATTGCATCCTTGGGTATGTGACTTGACCTGATTCTTAAATTACAAAGTTGAAGTTGTGCTGGGACTAGGTATCTTCAAGAGATCAGTGTCTGAGTGCTGTGGTTTGGGAACTGAGACAGCAGTCTGACACGGTTACTGTTCCCGTTTCAGTTTGTATTGTCTGGAGATGGAAATCATATGAATCAAGACAGGAGTTAAATGGAACAGCATTTGTACTGCAGACCTATGGCTTTCTGCCATGGTCTAAGTTTAGTTTACTATAATTTTGCAGTGATGCACTATTTAAAGAGTTGGTACTGTTTTAACAATTTCTGCAATCACTGCAGCTGTCTACTCAAGGAGATGCCAGCCAGGTGATTGGGCCGCTCACAGAGGGACAGCGGAGGAACGTGGCTGTGGTTAATTCATTATACAAACTGCACCAATCCGTTCTGAAGGTAGGCTTCCTTTGGTGTTTCTCTTCTTGCCATAATGTTTTCATTGCTCTATCGTATGCATATTCCCCATTAGCTGATGAGAACTCTGACAAATGCAGCCCAATTTGGGGTTGAGCTGCACCTTGCTGTGCATTTGTACAACTCTTTGAGACTTGGTTGGCTCTTGTAAGCACTATGACATGGCAAATTGTCAACATTAGAAGAGGAGTGAAAGATGTGTCTGTACAGAATAATCGCATCTCACCCTCACTGCTTTCACACGATTGTGGCCAAACTGAAAAGGGGAAAGAAGGGGTGAAACCAGAAAAAACAGCACCTCACAAATATCTCCGCGTGTTGTTGCTGTGACCAAAGTCTGGCCTGGAAATGTTTTCACAACTAAGCAAAGCTATGAATAATTCAAATTTACTGGCTTAGTGATGCCAATGGTTACACAGTAAATTAAAACAAACAGATATAGTGTTAGTTGTAGTTAATCGTCTTTAAATCCTAGCCTGATTAGAAAAAAGATCATGAGTACTCCTGACTCTGGATATGTTTAAAGAATGTTAAAAACTGCTAAAAACCCTATAAAATTTGCTTGGATTTTGCAAACAGATGGTAGATCAACTTTTAAGTCTGCTTTCTCTGATGTATTTAGTAATGAACCTCATGTGCCTTAGTGTTGGAGGGAGATCTGATATGATTCAGTTTTTGAGTTCAGTACTTATCGGGCTTAAAAATACTATTGTATGGCATGTTCATAACTGTAAGGAAATTAGTAGAATATTCCTTCAGATCATTCCTTGACTTTCAATTCTAATATTGTTGTAGCTGTACATAAACAGCTATTTAACATGTAGTATTATAATAGTCATAATACTGAGAAAGAACAACCATTCTTTCAAATATTTCCCAGAGAGCTGCTTCTGTAGTTCTCCATAAATTCTCTACTTGGCTGTGGGAGAATACACTGTTTATTTTTATTCTGATTCTGTTAACCCTTCACTTAAATTTCAGCTGAACTCAAATGAATCATTTCTTTGCCAAGGCAGAAGCAGAGTCCATAGGAAATTTGAAAGCAAAGGACCCATACTGGTACATTGAAAATTCTGTCTGTATAAAACACATTTAATAGTTATCTATACCAATGTAAACCACTCATTACTAAAGATAACTCAGTATGTTTTTAAATGAAATTGAATGTTATGGATTCTAATAATTTGCTGAATGTTGACTATTCACAATTACTTTAAAATTTTTAGGTCATTACCAGTCAGAGCTCATTTCCAGCAGCTGCTGAGCAAACAGTCACAACTGCCTTAAAGGTAATTGAATGTGCATATGCTGCAGGGAGAGGGCTGAGCTTTGCTTTGTTTGTTACACTTTAAATAGGCACTTGTTTTCCCTTGTATTATTATGTGTCAGCATATGGTAGTCAAAGGTATCAAAATATTCTGAGATTTATATTTTATTGTATCTGCAGGTACGTATATGTTTCACGTGCCAAATCACTGCTTGAGTAGCGTTTATATTCAAGAATATTCCTGTAATGGTCAGAACCCAGATGTCATCTGACTGTGAAAATAACTGTCTTTCTCTGCAGCATTCACACAGCAATAACTGGATCCTTCCTCACCCCCTTATCCTCTCTGACACACGCATAAAATTACGATTTTTGTGCTACCTGGTGCTGTTCTGGGGGTCGATGTGGTTGGCCATGCAGCCCTCTGTGGATGACATCTGTCCACATCTGTCCTGCTGTGCACTGCCCTGGGAGGGGTTGTGTGCAGAGGAACGAAGGGCAGCTGGTGTGTCTGGGGAACAAACAGCTGAACCAAGTGTGGCCACCAACACACACACATTTACAAACCAGGAATGCCAGATTGCGGTGCACCGTTTTGAAGGAAGGCTTTATATACAAGTAGTAAACAGCTTTATTTCTGTACTTTACTGGTAAAATCAATTAAAGAGAAATGTTATCTTTTGTCCTTCTATTTAGCAGTTTCTAATGCAGAATAATAAAAAGCGCTGTTGAAATGAACTGTTTGTCAAGGTATTTTTGAGGTGTCAAAATGCAAATGCTTCTAGTTTCTGTTTCCTTACTTCTGCCTTTTTCTTATTCTATTTTAGGCAGTCCATGATCTAATGGGTAGTGCTGTTCAACCGTTACTGAACTCTGTAGGAGATTCGGTAGAAGCTATTATCATCACTATGCACCAGGAAGACTTTTCTGGGTAACTAGGAATATTTTTTAAATTTACCGTTGCTTTAGTAAGATGTCCTGCATATGCATAATAGATGGTTATTGCCACAATGTCCTTGGAGCAAGAGCACTTGTTTGTTGAGAAGGGAATGCTTTTATGGTCAGTGAACACAGAAAGCAAAATTACACCCATCTATTGAAACAAATTAAGCAGGTAGCATCTGTCTTCTTCCCCTCCCCTTTTTTTTTTTTACTGTTGAGTAAAATACATTTTAAATAGAAAAATAAAGCCAGCTTTTGCTGTGGAAACTTATTTTTTGTGGACAGTCTTAAAAACTGTCAATAGTCTTGTTTCTGAAAATAAAGTATATAACCTCTGAACCAAAATCACACAGAAAATTTTCAAAAATATTATTAAAGAAGAAATGGTTGAAAAAATATCCTTTATTGAAAGCTCAGATTTAGTGTATTATGCTATATTCCCAGAGTGTTTTAATTAAAATTTCCAGTATTCTTTATCTGCAAAGATCTTGAGTCCTAAAAATCTATAATTGAGACTTCCTTCTTGAGTGTTATTTTGGTTGTTATCTCTGTTCTGACATCGCTTATATCATCATCAGATGTTCTATTTTCTGTCTTGGAAATTCACTGAAAATACTGTATTTTCAGAAGTGTTTTAAATTTTCCTTTTGACTTTTTTTTTTGAAACAATATTTTGCCCTCTCCATCTTTCTTTTGCCACCACTAGCAAAATACCTTTCTAGGTGGACAAACTGATTCCAGCCAAAGGCTAAGTTTTGTTAGACAGCCTGTTGCTCAGGTTCCCGAGTTTGGAAGGGCTCTTTTGCCTGACTGTGATTCAAAGAAAGAGAAAAGTGATTGATTTCCGTGTCCTGTAGCTTCTGTGCTGCTTCTGCGATAATTAGATTGACTTTATAATCCCGGGTTTGGAAGAATCTAGGAAACTATTTCCAGACAGAGAACAGGTTTGGGATAGGCTAAACTAGTAACCCTGAGATACGTGCTTGTGTTTTCTGATCCATTAGTAGAGTTTCAAATCAACAGCTGGGATATTTAAATTTAGGGGCTGGATTTGAGGTTTAGGCTCCAAACTGGTGGAGGCTCTGCAAGTTGGGTAGGAGTGGGGTGATTTCCTTTATCTTGTTAGGATGGGAATGACTGATAAAGAGATATTTTTTGACTAGTTTCAGAGAGCGCTACACGCTCTTTATTCTGAGCAGAAATGAGACTCTGCAATTCATGACATGACTTCGTGGGGTATGAAAAAAATTAAAAAGAATCCAATAGGTTTTGGTTGTGTTTTAAAGATGAATTTAGCTGTCCCCATTTCTTTTTTCTTTTCTTTTTTTTTTTTTTTTTTTTCTTTTTTATTTTTTCCCTTTCTTTTCTTTTTCCCTTTCTTTTCTTTTTCCCTTTCTTTTCTTTTTTTCCCCTTTTTCCTTTTTCCCTTTCTTTTCTTTATTTTTCCCTTTTCCTTTTTCCTTTTCCTTTTTCCCTTTTTCCTTTTTCCCTTTTCTTTTTCCAAAGAGTAATTTAGCTTTTCCCCTTTTTTTTTTTTTTTTTTTTTTTTTTTTTTTTTTTTCCAGATCATTATCCAGCTCAGGAAAACCAGATGTCCCTTGTTCTCTGTACATGAAAGAACTACAGGGTTTTATAGCAAGAGTCATGAGCGACTACTTCAGACATTTTGAGTGTTTTGACTTCGTCTTTGATAACACTGAAGCCATGGCTCAAAGAGCAATTGAACTTTTCATTCGCAATGCCAGTCTAATAAGGCCCCTCGGTGAAGGTGGGAAGATGCGACTTGCAGCTGATTTTGCACAGGTACCCTTAATACTGATTCCTGCCTTTTGCTGTTACTCCACTGTGTTCACTGAAAAGTATCAATGCTTTTGCCCCCATCAAAGTATAAACAGGCAGTTCTAGAGATTAGTGTGTTCCAGTTCTAAACATCCTCTCACATGAGATGCTCTATCCTGAGAAATGCATCTACTGAGTAGTTGAAGATCGCTCATCACTGTAAGGGCACATTCAGGGAGATGTAACAGCTTCCTATCAAGTGACTTTTGCATTTAAATTCAGCTACATCTTGACATTTTATCCCACTTGCCTGACCTCTTCGGTACATCCATCATTTGCCATCATTCATTCACTTCATTCTTTCTCTCTCTCCTAATGAAATGGTGTGTCACTTTCTTAATCACTTCATATATCACAGTGCCCACAGTGGTTAATCGCTAACTCAGCTGCCTTGCAGTGTAGGAGACAAGCTAAAGACATAGCAATATCCTGTGGAAGAACTGCCCTTTTGGTAACAGAAGGGCAGTTTTCTTTGTGGGATTCTCTTCGTGACCTGATAGACTTACCTGCCTCTCAGCTTTACCTAGCTCCTACACCGTGCTAAAACACAACAAAAATTGCCAGATTAATATCCACTACCTGTCTGTATTATCTACTATATTGAAATTTAATTTGTCAATAGTAATACTGTGTGATTAACTTGCCATAGAATACAGGCATCCACTAGATTGGTCTGAGCGTCCCTGTTGTTATTACCCAAGCAGGAAAGGGGGTCACACCAGCTGTCTGCATTTCCAGTGCTGCTTTTGGCTGGTAGGTAACTAAGGCAGGAGAGGAAGGCAGGGACAGAGGAATCACTGCCCTCTCCGCGCCTGTTCGTAGCTGCTTTGTATCGTTTGCCTGTGCGTTACATACTCCTGAGTAAGGTTTTTTTATTCATTACTCAAAAGTAGCAAATCAACCTTTAACCACAGAAGTTAAGGGGAAGATTTCAATTGCTTTCAGTGAGAAGGTTCTGTTCCCTTCTCTATTTTGAAGACAATGGCAGAAAATTGGAGAAAAAAGGACATTTGACTCCTGCTCTGTAAGGAATATAGATATTTTTTGTAATTTATGCTGCAATACTAAAGTAAGTTCTATGAATTTGGGAAATATCTTCCACCTAATTCTACAGTAAAGAGCATCTGATCTAAGCACCTATTATAATAATACTAAAAATATCACTCATTTATCTTTTTTAAACACTTATTTTTCTCATTCTGACACGGGCTGCCTTTTAAGTGAAAAATGAAGGTACATTTTCATCCGACTGTAGGGGGATTTGCATGTTCTTCCCCACTGTGCTGAGTATAACTCCTGAACGGACAACTGTGTGAAGATAAGATTTCTCTTCTTTTGTACTGTGGAAGAAAAAGAATAGGGTTTGAATTAATTCTTGTCTCCTGCCTTCAACTGTTGCTGCATCTGGGGGCTGCCTTGTGTTTTACTCATCTTCACATTGCACCATATTTTTGGCTTGTTTAAAAATGGGCTTAAGACAAGAGCTAGCTGTGTCAAACCAGCCCCATAGAGCCGCCTCAGCACTCACTCTGTGCCTTTGAGCATCTCTGCACAGAGCTGTTTAGTGGGTCCCAGGCTGCACAGGGGCTGTAGTGCCCAGAGTGGCCTGGACGCTGTATCCTGTTGCTCAGGACAACAGAAAAAGGACTGAAAACATTTTGTGTATGGAGACTGCCTTATATCCTTACATGTCTTCCGGGTTGTGTCTACCCCTCCCAAAAACCTGATGGGTTTTGGGCACATGTCCGTGATGCCATCTCCTGGTGGCCACACTGGGGAGGTTGTAGTTACTCTGGCCTGGCTAGGAATCCTGGGCATATTCACCAAAATGTGGCTGTAATCCTGAGCAGCACTCAGTTCATTTCCATGGGCTTTGTTGAAGAAAAGACAAAGAGAAGGAGACATTGCTGCTGCTTTGGGCTGAGGAGAGCAGGGAGCAAGTATTTAGTTGGGCTGTTGGCCTAAGGGGAAGGGTAAACTTTTCCAAATAGCCACAAATGCTGTGTGCAAGGTTTTTTTTTCAGTCCCAGAAAGGCACTGCATTGTTGGACTAAAGCCAAACCTGAAGGAAAGGACCTGCCTGGGAAGACTGTGTGTGTAGGAGGAGGTTTGTTTATAAACTGTTTTTACTTGTGCTCTGCCTTGTAGAGTCATTTTGAATTTTCTGTACTCAAAAAGGGTTACATTTTCCTCCTTAAAACTGGCTTCTGAGATCTAGAACTCCTGTTGGTGTTTTGGGGTTACTTGCAAGCAAAAGACCTGGGCAGAAGCTTTGGTTACTTTGAGGTTCTATGATAAACATACAAGCAGTAAGTCAAATAATCTTGGGTTGCATCATATTTTGGGTATCTCATGTGCTTGTGCACATTTCTTTCAGGGCACTCGGAGTTAGAGTTACAGCTGCCTTATACTCAGCAGAATAGCTTTGGCTGAGAGTCAGATTTGAAAATTCTTGCACTGGAAATGTGTTTTACTGATAAGTTGCCTCAAAACAACAGGTGTCTACACAGAAGGGGGAAAACTGAGGCTTCAAGTTCTCTTCGTTCAGAACTGGGTTTGGTGAGGTGCACAACAGCCAGTTTTCTTGAGTAAGGCTCAGCTACTTATGCAGTTAGGAAATATTGCTGTAATTCTGTTGAATTCTCTGTCTTATCCTGTTTCTAGTGTCAGTATTGCATTTTGCTATCTCGTGCATTACAGGTACTTCAGCAGTAAGACTAGGTGTGTGCTAGCATGGCAGCTGTAAACAGAGCTTGGCTTGAAACAGAGATAGGCTTGAAATATGTCTGAATGTCATTAATATGATTTCATAAAGATCAGTGCTTACAGGAACACAGAAAATTTTAAGCCCTAGAAAATGTCTGCAGCACTGCAAGGTTATTATCACATACTGTGCTGTTCCTTGGGACTCTCATCGTTTGAAATATTCCCAGTCTACAGGCTGAATTCACCCCTTTTCATGCTCTCAGTGTTTACGCAGTCAATTGCACAAGATTACTTTTCAGTTCACTCCTGGATTGGTGTGTTTTCGTTTGTTTTTGTATTTTTAAGATGACTATAATTCAATGTTCACATATGTAATACCAAATTTCACTTTTTAATTCTGCACTAGTCTGACTGAAAAAAAAATGCTTTCCTGGAGGCATCAAGGCAGCAAGCCCTGATGGTTTTTAAACATTTATATTTCATGGGAGTGCCAGTTCTTCTCCAGGGGACCCTTTAACTTGCTTGGTATTCAGAGTTCTTACAGCACTTAAACTTAGGCACACTTTGGGATTGGTGGCTTAGAGCTCAGGCCTTCCTAAAACCCAGTGGAAGTGCTGGACAATGCAGCAAAGAATGAAATATAAGCACGATCAGTTGAGAAATTTATTTAGAAGTGAGGAATCTACAGTAATATTTGGCATGGAAATTAGTAGTCTGCTACGTGAAGTTTGTAAGCTGATACAGAAAAACAACTGTTTATTAATAGCAAATACAGATCATAACTGCATTGAAATAAGCTAGTCTAGAAATTGCAAAGACCGAGTAATCTTTATGCTTCGTGGCATGAAGGCATGACATGATTTCCCATCTTTTCAGAGTACAGGTGTATGTTTGGAGTGACATGTAAGGCAGGAGCCACTGTCTGTGCCAAGAACCCCATCTCATGTCATGAGCAGTTATTTTCAGCCTTGTGGAGTGAACTATTCTTATTGGTCCTGTTTGAGTTAATACTATTCTATATATACCTTCATGTATTTCTTATCTAGGTGTGGTTTATAGTTGAATTTTTTGGCATTGTTCAGTACTGTGTTCACACAGTTTTTATGGGGTGTAGTTAACACTGCCACCAGCTCTTCAAGTCGTTATCAATAAATTACTGTAAAGTGTTCTGGTTTTATTGAATTTTCCTAGGAAAAAATGTTTTTACTGTAGAAGCTGACAATGCTAAATTGTACTGCAGCTTCCATCTGCTGGTTAGCCTATGGTCAGAATCTACTTTCCTGACTCAGTATGTGGCATTAAAAAAGCAAGAATATTAGGCATTTGGGTTTTAAAAAATATAAACAGATTTACTCATTCGATAAAAAATAATGGTGCAAGTGTAAAAATGCTTTTTATCATTTTTCCTAAAAAATTTCCTTTCTAGTTTCTTATAGAGTGAGAGAAGCAGGATGCTGTAATCACAGTTGTAGTCGTAAGGACAGAAGATACTGAAGGAGGACATTATTATCTTATAGGTGTTGTTTGGGAGGTATTACAGCTGAAGGATTTACTTAAATATCAACCATTTTGGAATCGCTGCACGGGGGACAAATCAAATTCCACATCCCTTCAAGGCCAGCTTCTTTCATGTAATAGTTCAGAGCTCTTCTGCTCCCTCGCTTGTTAAAGCATTCTCTCCTGGTGAATAGCTAGGAAAAAGCATTTTGAGTTAACATTTAAAAACTTGGAATTCATCTTGGCCAGGAGGAAATGTGATTGTTAAAAATTTAATGTCAAGATTTTCCAGCTGAAAAAACAGCTGTTTAGTAATGAGAGATACCACAATAGGCACTAAACAATAACTTCACTGTGGGGTTTTTCAAAGAGCTCTTCAATATATATGCATTATCTGTATCTGGACTACATATTAACTTCACCCTTGGGTTGCTGAACATAATCCAATTAGAGAAGCCAGCCACATGATGTATTTTTTACAATACGGCTAGCCAGTGAATAGTTCAACAGATAATTGACCACCTAGCCATGGGCTATGGCAGGGTCATATGAGAAGAAAAGATAATATAGCCTTTTTGGGCTCAGAGAGCAAGAATCATTGAGAAAAAGCACATGTTGGGCAGGAGTCTGCCACTGTGTTCTGTGAAGCATAGCAAAATAACATGAATAAATCATGGAAAAGCAATGGGTTTTGAACAAAGTTAGAAGAAACAAGGCAAAGTCATTAGGCTTTCTTCTGTTCTAGTTGCCCATTCCTTTTTGGCAGGTACTGCCTACTGCTTCTCTTGGATCCTGTGTTAATGATGATCTCACATTAGTCCATCAAGCCTCTGTGGTTGCAAATTACTGGTTAGACACCTGGTTTATTACTGAATTTAGCCTGGATATCTGACTTTTCAAATCTATTTGGAAGAGAAACAAAAAATGCTCCGTACCCTTTCGTTTGTGAAGTCCATAGGACATGTCTGCATGAAAGGCCTTGCACACACAATCCAAACACTGGCTTGCAGACAGCCAGAAACATCACCCGACCTGTTAAAACTCGCCAAAATGCTTTGGGAACTATAGCTGTATATCATAGCAAAAGCTGCTGCAGTATAAAGACGCTGCATGAATCAACAGTTGATGCAGCTTTAGGTGATGACAGGTAGCAAAACCAAGAAGTGATGTAAACTCAATCCTCTGCCCAATTCCAGCACCTGACAAACAGCAGCTGTTCCAGCCGAGTGATTCCTCCCCGGCACTCGCTCCCGGGCCAGTGGTGCCGGCACGATGCTCAGCGGAGACACAGAGCCCCACACAATGGGCCTGCAGACATTAATGTGACAGCAGGAAGATGCTGTAGCATCTCACTACATCCTTGGGCTCAGACAAATCGCTAGAATTCAAGTGAAAAAAACAACCTTGGTTACTATGCAAAGAATAGTTTTTTACTGGAGAGATGGGGTAATAACACATAGCAGACTAGTGTTGTAAAATTCTGTACATTTTTGCCACATTAGTTTTCACTCATTCCCACTCTTCATGAGTCAATTGGAGATGGTATAGTATGCTGCAAAGCTTAAAAACAATTTTTTTTCTTTGGCAACTAGTACTTCACGAATCAACCATCTGCTGCCATTAAATCTATCTAGTCCTAGCAATACTAATAATTTCCTACAGTGAATAAAGGTTGAAGATGAAGTAATAGAATTTTCCAAAGTAAATTTTATTCTTTAGTACTTAAGACTAAAAATGTTGATTTATCAAAACTACCAAATACATTCAAGAAAAATAATTTAAATTTAACAAGGAATTGTTAAGCTGTACAAAGTTTCACTTACGTCTCATTGCATCATATGATGTTTCAGGATTGAAACAATAATTTAAAACTTATTAACCAAAATTATATTTTGCTGTGCTGGGATTTCTTTCCCCTCATGAGTACAGTTTGATCCATGCATTTCTGCTTCCACAAGTCAGACTGGCAGCTTGTTGCCTGTTTTCAAATTCTCTAAAGCACCTAAAAGAAAAAAAAAGCAACCTTCTCCCTGGCTCTTTACAGCTACAAGCCCATGGCTCCCACCAGAGCTGGGACATGAGCTCCTGCAGGGTATCAGTTACTTCTGGCTGCCCCTAGCCAATACTGATGCCTGAAAAGAAGCTCTGGAGAAATCAGTCTTGCTCCTGTTTGTTTTTCAGGGTCTGTAGGGTTCTTGTATCATGATGCAGCAAAGCCTACTTAATTAGTTCCTTTTTTTGTCTACTTGCTTCTGATCCTGTGCAGCCTCTTGGCTCCCATACGTGCTCAGAAGTGTTCTGGGGGATCTGAGGATGCAACCTGCTGAACTTGCACTGAGCTTCATTGCAGTTTGGAGTTGGAGCTCCTCCCTGCAGAAATCCCTAGGGAGAACCCGCCTGGGATCGTGCACTCAACCTCTGTCCCTTGTGCCAGCAAGTTCAGCAGATGGCACAGCAGCTGATGGCTCCTCCTCAAGCGTGGGGACATTGGCTTCCCATTTGTGTGCCTTTTGCATGGTCTGGTGGATATGGTGATTGCTCAGGAACTGCAGAGTGGTGCTGTACATGCTCTTCAGCCTGAGGAACAGGTACCCCTTGTGTCTGCCTGTGGGAGAGGTGACCCTAGCCCTCAGACTGTGGGGGTTACAAGAGGACAGGGCAGGGATCCCACCCAGCTGTAGAGAAGGGGCCAGTTCATAGCCCCTAGAATAGATCTGGGGGCCTGGGCTGTTACCCCAGCTCCAGGGCTGGAGCATTCATCTGCAAGCAGAAGACAAAGACCCTTATTTCCACTTCGTGAATTTTTATACACATTCTGTTTCTGTGAGTTTCTCCTTAATATAAAATGCAGATTTCAAGCGGCCTGGAAGTGCTTGGTGTGGGTATGTATTTCATGGTTCCTAGGCTCGGGGAGCAGCTTTTCGCTGCCTGTAGGCTGGCTCTGTGGGGCTTTCCCCATTGCCTTTCAGAGGTGCCCTCCTCTCCTTGCCTGCCTCTGGCTTTTCCAGCTTTGGCTGTGTGTCATGTAGGTGGATATTCCTACAACATGACCCACCTGACCTATTTTAGATGTCTACCTCGGGGAAAGATGCATCACGCCCCAAGAGTGGATTTTTCTCTCTCCTGAGTATGAAGAGAACATGTAAATACTGAGAAGTAGGTGAGATGACTCCCATCCTGCCACTTGCTTTTTAAGATGGGTGCCTGAAGCATATGGGCTTGATTTGCATTAGTTGCTAATTTAATTTCTCCTGGTTTTAGCAGCATAGTTACATGCTCTTGGTGAAGCTGGTGGCCCAGCAGCCAGCTCTGTCTGAGGAAATGCTACAGCTGGAAAGAATAATAGTATTAAAGACTTCACTGTAAATAGTGTCTTATCACAAACACTTTGAAACTTGTTCAGCAATGTTACTTAAATGGGAAGCTCATTGTGTGGTGTTTTTGATCTTGTTACTTATTTTAGCTCTCATCCTTTGAAACTTAGCTTAATTGTGCATTATGTGGAAAGCAAGGTCTGAATAGTCTTTCAAGTTGGGGGTTTTAAAAAATGTACGTGGAGAATAAAGCTTGCATCCCTCTGTTGACTGACCCTTCAGGAATGCAAAAAATAAGGACTTAATCCGTATCTGGCTAAAATTACTTTACTTGTGGGTTTTTTTTCAGTGGCAGCATTTGCATTAGTGTCCATATTAACTGAAATTTTGCCATGTAATGTTCATGTTTGGTCCGGGAGCTGGAAGTGAAATTGCTCTTTTGCACTTCTGTGTCCTCGCTGTTAATGAAGAGCGTGTAACAGAATTTAGTCTCATGTGAATGGTGCAAAAAGCCAAGAGGAGCCTGGCTGTTGTTCGAAAAGGCAGGTGATTTCCAGTGCTTAAAAACAGAAAACGTTTAAAAATTGTTTATTTTTAAAGATGACTGCTCAGAGACTGAACAGTATGAAAACCTTTATGAAAATAATGCTTTCACTGATGCTCTTTTGCCTGTGATTCCATATGACCCTGTGGCAATGGGTCCCAGCTACCTTCTCTCTAATCTGGGTTGGTTTTGTGCCCCAGAATTTGGGGTCAAGTGTTCAAAAAGGAATCACTTTAACCTCATGCTTCACCAAAGGAAAGGGTGCCCAGCTGAAATGGGCGTGCATTTTTATTGCTTTAGGAGTGGTTTGTGAAGTCCTCTCTAGATTTGCTTTCTTCCCAGGCTGCTGTCAGATTTCTGGGTTATTGACTTAAGAGCTTCCTTCATCAGGAAACTCGTCACCAACAGAATAAACCTGCTGCGAGAAACAAAGCTTCAGTCTCAGAAAGCTCAGGAGACCCTTCTGTCCTGAACTGTGGAGCGTCACTGTCGTTTGTCACAGGGTGCTTACTGGGCTGCCAAGAATAAGGCAAAAGTCTTGGCTTGGGCAACACAGTGTGTAAGGAAAGGATAACTTCTTGCCTCAAATTCAGCCACCAGCCAGAAGTCAGTGATCTGGTCTGCAAGTTTGGATTATATTTTAAAGGCAGGCTACTTCTATACCAGTTTTATATTTTGGGATAATCTAATCCAAATGAAAATGTTTGGTTTTGTAGATGGAGCTAGCAGTAGCACCGCTGTGTCGGCGAGTCTCTGACCTAGGAAAATCTTACAGACAGCTGAGGTCATTCAGGTGAGTTGCAGGAACTAGCAACCGGCTGTGGGACCAAACTATTTCAAAACTGATTTATTACCCCGTGTTAGTTCTGATTGAACTGAGAGCTTTTTTGGCAACGCCCACCTGCAAATTAGAAATAGATTAAAGTTCTTTTAAATTTTATGCAGAGTATAACTATGATTTAACAATCTTTGTCATGCTAATGTTGGCCAAATTGTACTTTTTTGTGTTGCTTTCAGTACAACTTCTGTATGACAGTGAGTTCTATAGTTAACTTGAAAGTTTTCACTGAAATATAAAATTTACAATCCTGTGTTGTTTAATTACAATAGGCATCTTCTGTAATTTTTTACAAACTGAACCTGTGTTGAAAACCTAAGATGCAGATTAGTGGAAAAAAAATTAGATGCTTCTATCCTAGCACAATATTGCCACCATATAGGCGTTTTTTCTAATGCATAAATAAGCTTTTTCTTCCTTTCACAAGACTGTTGTTACATTTTTCCAGACCGCTGCTGTTCCAGACCAGTGAGCATATTGCCAGTAGCCCAGCCCTGGGAGAGGTTATTCCATTCAGCATTATTCTTCAGTTCTTATTTACAAGAGCACCACCAGAGTTAAAATCACCCTTCCAGGTAATAAGATCAACCTGTCTGTCCTTTCAAGATGTCCTAAGGAGCAATGAACATTGTAGTTTGCCCTAGTTATTTTAGTTAAAAAGTATTCAAGTTTATACTTTATATGATTTGTTGGCTTTTGTTTTTATTGTGGCAAAGGAATTATGGTCATTGCCTTCATATTTTGATTAATTAACAGCAGGAAGATGATAACCTGATTTTAAATAGACTCTTAATTCTTTAATATTCTGTCAGCTCACAGGAGAAATTGCAGGTCTTATCCCAGATCCCTGGATCCTGCTCATGTAAGATGCAGGAAATCTAAATCCAAGCCCCTGTCAGAATTGGGCAAACAGCCGATGCAGGAGATCACCTCTGAGCTCCCAAATAATGTATTGAGCTATTTCTGTTAATTGTGTCTGATTCCATAACTGCAGGAGTTCTGCATCTGTCTCTGATTCTGCATCACTGCAGTATTGAGAGAGCATCACGCAGTCTTCATTCATGTCATCTTTGATTCTGAAATTGGTGTGTGTGTTTCTTTTTTGCCATTTATGTGTAATTGGTGTTTCTTTGTGTTTCTGTGTCAGAGGGCTGAGTGGTCCATTGCCCGCTACTCCCAGTGGCTTGATGATCATCCCTCTGAAAAGGACAGGCTTGCTCTGATACGGTAAAAATCATGCTTCTTTCTTCTCTACATTTATGATAATGGATCAGTAACTTATTTGTGCATCAGGACTGGTCTTGTAAAGTGTGTGCTGTGAGAGATGCATCATAAATACCATTACCCTCTCTGCACTCATGGGATGAGCTGCAACGTGGGAAAATGTATAAACTGAACGCTCCCCTCCACCCCCCGTACCCAAACCCTCCAGTGCCTTTGGAAGGAGCACGTAATCCTCTTGCAAAGGAAGGAAACAGTGATGGTTTAAATTAATACTGTATTTTAGCAAAACTGCCTCTCTCAACTGTTGGAAAGTCAAGGCTGCAGCCATCCTGTCTTCTGTATCAGGAAAGAGAAGCTGTGGAAGCTGAAGCAATGAAAATGTAGTTAGGAATTTAAAAATGGAAGACCCTTGTTGCCCTCATGCAATGTTATGCTTCAGGAAATCAGCCCAGGATCTTTAAGTCAGATTTTTAAAATCTTCCTAGGGTAGATGATTTTATAGCTAAATACTATTTTGCATCTTAAAATGTTAGAGAAAGTTACGAAGAGTTTTGTTTTTCAAAACAAGCAGATTTTTAAAGTATGTTAGCGAGAACAGATGTGTTGTATGAACATGACAGAGCCAGCCTGAGATTCCTGGGCATTTAAGGCTCAGATGATCATTTGGCTCCTAACGCCCCAACTCTTCCAGCCGTCTTCTTGGTGTCCTGTCCTGACCTCGGCATCACCCACTCCGGTGGCACGGGAAGGGCTGTCACCCAGAGCTGTGTGACACAGAGCTGTGTGACACAGAGCTGCACCAGGCTCCAGCTGGCCCGGGAGCCAGCTCTGTCTGAACTTCCGCCTGTGGATGTTGCCAGCTTTTCCTGAAATCATAAAAGCTGACTTTTAAGTTCCAGCCAGCAGCGGTTGTGCTTGAGAAAATCAACCGTTATCTGTCCACACTTTTAAAGCAGCCAAGAGGAGTCTGCTGTAAATATTTACAGTTCTTGAAGCTGATAGCACCACACAGTCCAGTGTAGTAGTCAGGCCAATTAAGGAAATACTAGTTGATCACCAGTGGATGTTACTAGGGTTTACTTCCAAAATATTAAAATGCAAACTATATCTCTTCATATGTGTATTAAAAGAGGGTTGTTTTTTTTTTAAATCATGCATGTTGTTAGTCTAGTTTGGCTACAAAAGTAGGTTTTCTTCAATCCCGAGCCATGGCACCTTGAGTTACAGAGGACTGGATAATAGGTACAGGGCTGATACAGCTGTATATGTCACTTAGTTATGAACATTTTGGTTGTAATTTCTGTCCTGATAGTACTGGCAAAACTGACAATGTTGAATTTCAGATATGTTAGCCAAAGCCAAGAATGCAAATAATTTAAGAACTGATGGGATTTTGTTCTTTTCAATCCTTTTACAGAAATTCGAAAATGCCATCCTTAAACTGCAACACATTTTTGTCTTTGTTTGCAATTAAATTTTATCCAGACTAATTCAGTTAATGGGCTTGCTGATGGTCATGTTCAGACACTGATAAATTGCTCTGACCATGGAGGTATTAAGGGACAAGCCTTGGGACAAGGCTTTCAGGCAGTGAGAGTGTCATCCATTAGACCAAGTAGCGTCACTGGAATACTTCAATTTTTCATTCCAATCCTTTCATTGAGTCCTTTATTCATTTTGCATGAGATACCACTATTAAAATATTTTGTAATATTTTGTAATATTTGTAATCTCAAGAATGTACTGCTGCAAGGTTATCACTCGGCAAGGTTATCACTTGAGCATTTTACAGTGAGACTGTGGTCCTTTTGCTTTGCACTGTGGAGTGCTGGGACATTGCTCAGACAACCGTCCTCCCGGGGCGTGGAGAGGGCAGCTTTGCAGATCTGCCCTTCCCAAAAGCCTCTGGTGGCACTCTAGTGGCACTTCCCTACTCTTGGTACACCAGAGCAAGGCTGTTTGTCACTGCCCACACTTGACTGGTTCTCCATCCACCCCCAGGCCCACCACCTGCAGGCACCACTTGTGCAGCTTTGCTGAGCCCCGTGCACTAACTGCAGTGCATTTGTCAAGCAGCCTCTTCCCTCGGGTGGTTTGGTTGGCAGCTCGTGCAGCCCTGCGTGTCTGGGAGCAAAGAATGGGGACTGGCCCACCAGTGATGCAGGGGGTAATGGGGATGGTTCTCCTTTGAGGACACTGGTAACCTCTGGTGGCGTCACTGTCTGCAGTCACCTTTTTACCATCTCCTCTCATACCTGTTAGTCATTTCTGAATGGGCTGGTTAGCCATACATATGGCAGGCGAGCGAATGTCAGTCACTAGTATGACTGTGTTTCACTCATATTTTCTTTAATACTCTGTTGGAAGATTTCTAAGCCTGCTCTTCACGCGTCTCATATGAACCCAAGTTGAACGACAGGCGTCTTGCTTGTTTGTCTGGAGTCTTTTATCAGTCACCCTCCCCAACTACAAGCTTTTTCTGACTGTAGTTATTCAGCCGTGCTAATTGAACCTTGGGTGTTTTGAGCCTTCGGATCCCTGCACTGGGCTACATCAAGAAATTATCTTTAGGTTTGCTGCAGCCTTGCAAATGGTAATTTTCTGCAACTTCCCTTTGTAACGACTGCGCAATTACTCTAGGGACCTGCTGCTTAGATATTAATTTACTCGTGTTATCAGAATCCTTACAGCTTCATATTAAAGCTAATTGCAGTGCTGCTTCTGCTCTTTAGATCTTAAATGCTTCATATGCACCATGGTGCTAATGTTATGAATTGGTAGCATTCGGAGCATTTCTGTGCATTTCTTTCTGCTTGTATTCAGCACGAAGGGTGGGATTTACCTGGCCAGAGGTTTATTAGCCAGACTCCCTTTATAGTCAGCAGAGAGAAGCAGGCGCTGCTGGGGCTGATTCATCTCAGCCTGAAGTCGGTGCCTAAAATAGGTCAGTTGCGTTGTGTCCTGAAAGCTCCATTTTCTCTGCTCAGCGAAGGGAGCGTGGGCTGGGACACGGGGGCTCTCTCAGGCAGACGCTGCCCTGCAGGCATTTAAAGTTAGGTGAGATGACCCTGCTGCAGGCGTCCTCCTGGAGCTGGGACTGTGTTGAAAGGAGCAACCAGGGCACTGGTTTTCTTTCTCTTTTTCAATTAAGTTAGAAAACTCAATCTTTCTCCCATTAAAAGAAACCTTCCTGTTAGATGTGGCAGGATTTGAGCCAGCCCAAAGGACAGTTCATTCACTCAAGGGCCGGATTCTTATCTTTACCATTTGTGTGTCTGAGCTGTCCCCCGGCCAGCACCAGGCCATTCATAAAAACCCCCAGTGTCACTCACTTTGATCTCCTTATGATGCGATCTGAAATCAACCAGAGATGCCTCACGCTAATCTGCTGTCCTACAAGATGATGGTGGCGGAGATTTTAGGGTAACTTTTATAGCACTCGATGAAATCGATCTGGTGTCAGACAGACAGGCTCTTACGCAGCGTATTTTCCATTTTCCTCCTTGCCCTGAAGTCTGCAGAGCAAACAGACTTTTTAACAAAATACTAAACCCAGGTGTTGGCCCTGCTGTCCTCCAGCTGCCCGGCTGATTGATGGGGACCCGAGTGCACGTGGTGTTCCCCCTCTCCCAAGCAGAGGTGATCCCTGCCCCTTCTGAAGCTCTCAATTTAAATTGGGCTCCTTTTGACCATGTCAGAGCCCAGGAGGGCTAATATGCACAATTCCATATAAAATTAACTAATTAATTAGAGTAATCCTAAATTATATGCTTTAAGAATGATGGCCCAAATAATACACTTTTTTTTTCTTTTAACTTTAGATATAAATCTTCATGGGTTGAAATAACATTTTGAAAAAGAACTATCTAGGCCTTATATAATCAGCTTGTCCTGATTTCCAAGAACGCTCATGTTTTTGCTCAAGCAAGTGAAGTAATTTAATAAGTGCTCTAAAATCCTTTTCCTTATGTGGGAGGGCATCTTAAACTTAGATATTTTTTTTTCCCATACTTATGGTATTTTTAATGAAGCATTAATATATGCAGAACATCCCACCAACCCTCTTTCCATAGCTCTCTTTTACAAACAATATTTGTAATGTATACCATGGCTTGTCTTTTAAAATAGAAACAGATTGTTGAACAGGTTTTATGTCCTTTATTAGACTGGAAGATGCTGAATTTAGGGCATTATTTAGTCTAATCCCTTCAAGAGTATGTTTTGTGTATTACATAAACAGGGTTTCTTCCATCTTCTTAAACATCGGTAATATAACTATAAATTACATCTTTTTATATGACAACAGCTGTGATCTCTTCTGTGCTGGAGACTTGGTGATGCTGCTTTCACCCATGATGCCATTTATTTTTCCATTTCTACTTAAGCACTAGTGTTTGTACAGTGTCCTCTACAGGAGCAAGCCTACCTTTTTTTTTTAATACAAGATTTTAGTGGAAAAACAGTGCATCTGAATTGAATTCTGCACTAGCAGCATACTTTCCAAAAGCTCCTTTGAGCTAGGACTGGTTGAGTTTACAGAAGCGTCATCATAAAATCTGCATTTCAAGTGTTAGTGTTGCTACTAAACTCATTTGTCTCCCAAAATGAGGTGGAGTAATAGAGGCATCTGGGCAGCTGCAGTGAAGGTGTTGTTACAGGTTGCCCGGCTCAGCCGCCTGAGCGAGACTCCGGCTGTGGGCACCCCTGAGGAGAAGGTCCTGAAATCCCACCCTTAAGACGTGGTAACTGTCCTCAGAGAAACAGCGTTCCCGTCCCAAAGGTACTTCTGAAATCACATCTACTTTGTTAGCACTGGTGCTTTTGGTTACCTCTCCCAGCCCATCCCTCCCTCCCTCCCACTCTGAAGCAACCTCACCGTTACCCTCTGGACTCCAAACACCCTCTCCCTGGATTCATCATTTCTGCCCTTTTACTCCCCGCGCCTTTCATTCCCAGGGAGGCTGTTCCCAATAGGATGGACAGACTTCTGGCCTCTCGCCATCATGTCATTACTCTGGGCAGCAGTGCAGAGAATTTCCTGAGCTAATCAGAGCTTTAGGATGGTTATGAGCTGTTCCATGGTCACCAGGTAGGGTACGGAGCTCCGGGTGGCTGTGGCTGCCTCTTGGCTCCCAGCCTTTAGCAGCTGCAGAAGCTTTTCATCCTCTCATTGAGCGCGAGGCCCCTCTGGCTGCTTTCTTCCATGTGGGAGGGAGACTGCTGCTCTGCCTTGGTGGGTACCAGAAGCAGGTAGTTCTCCTGGCCAGTTCTGCTCTGGAGGTGCCCATGTCCTCCATTTGGTGGTAGATGTTTCTCCATGACTTGTTCGTTCCCTTGGCACTGCAGTTCCAGTCAGTTGTTTCCCCAGGGTTATGGTGAAATCCCCACCAATGGGAGACGTGGCGTTTGCAAAGTAACCCTCAGGAGCTGAGGGCTGACGAGGGAAGGAGCCGTGGCACGAATGTGACATCTGGTGAGAGGCCAGTGCTCGCCCTCGCCGGGCCTCTGTCGGGGGTTTGGCCGTTAGTGACACTCCTGCTGGCTGAGAAGGACCAAGCTTTGGGTTTAGCAGTTCTGGTCAAGTTATTGATTATGAATTGCATTTGAACATTCCCTTTTAGCACCCTTCAATACTTTTATTGGAGGGGCAGGCACGGGACATGGGAAAACAGTGAATGCTTTTACTCTTGGAGTATTGGGAAAGCTTTTATTTTTATTGTTTAATATAAAGCTGTACAAGGTCTGTTTTAGAAAAATGCCTGACTAGTAATTATTGGTTGTCTTTTTGAGCTGAAAAGAGTTAGTTAAGATGCTCCTGGGTTGGTCATGTTGATGAAGTTTGACTCTGTGTCTTTGAAACAATGCAAGCAAAGCCACAGTGAAAGATCAAGCACAGCAGAAGAGAGGTGACAAGGATCAGCTTCTGTCAGCTGTTGGTCTCTGCTGGGAAGGAGAAGGATCTGGGCAGTTGTGAGGCCACCAAACAATTCTCCAGGTTCCTTATAGCTGCTTTTTGGGTTGTAAGAGAACAGTGGCTGCCACTGATGGAGTTGCTTTTGCCAGTTAAATCAGATTCTTTTGAGGCAGGAGAGAAACAGAAAAGATAAAAGCTGCTGGAAGGGGTGACAGCAGGACTCTAATACCAGTGTTTGGCACTTAGTGTAGCCTAAATCTCATTCCCTCTTGTTTGATGTGATGGGAATAACAGCCTGGCTAAGGATTATCAAGGGCTGACATTGAGTGGGTTTGGGTGCTGCTTTTAGGGTAAAGCTTCTCCCTTTCATCTGAAGGGATCTGGTTATCTCTGTCATCTTTTTCAAGGGCTTTTTCAAAGCAAGGAGATAAAGTCAGAAAGGGGTAGCAGTGTTACCATCTGGATAATGATGCCAACCCACAACTTCACCAAGAGGTGTCAGAGCTTTCTAAGTTAAGCAGGTCAATATGTTTTTTTCCTATTTTCAGCTTTTGATGACTTCTAAAAACTATTTGGGCCCAACAAACTTTGGGGAGCATACAGAGGAAAAGACAGGGACACTGGTGAGTGGAAAGGGAGAGATTCAGCAATGAGTGACAGTTACAGTGAGAAAATGGTCACAAGAGTTTATCAACTGTCTTTTTAATGCGAGGGACTGTTCTTTGGAGAAGATAACTAACATCTAACGTGTTTAATGATCTCTGCTGACCAGAGCACTCAGTGCTGACCTGAGTGGGAATGTGAGACACATCTGACTCTTCTGCAGCATCTCCCCTCATCTTGATGGGCCCTGCCTGCATCTCCCACCCACTGCTCAGGCTGCTCGTCACGTGCTCTGCCCCTCGCTGCCACAGGAGGATGGTTTATCTAAAAAGCACTCGTACCTGCTGTCCCTTTGCACCAGCCTCACTTCTCTAAATCTTGGGATTTAAAACTTCCCTGCGGATGTGCCCGATCTCTCTGCAGTCTGTCTGGCTGATGGCTTTTGCTGGGAGAGCCACTTTGTGGCTGCAGGAAGCAGTTTTTCGGTTGTTGCCTCTTTCCCTGCAGACGCTGTGCTGCTCCCCAGGGACCGTCGGGAAGAGCAGGCTGAAGGTTTTCAGGGAGTTGACCAGGTGGAAAATGTCAGCTTTATTTTGGGTAGATAAAATAAATATTCCCTCCCTGCCTTTCTGGCTGTAACGGGAGATAACTTTTCTTCTGCTGTTTGATGTGCAAAAAATGCCTAGTGTCTTTTCAGTGTGTGTCACTTGAGATGGGGGCTGCTGTTTGTGCCTGTGTTTTCCTACGTGTCACAATTTTGCTGCAAATCGCACCAGTGAACAAAGGGGTTTAGAAGGAAACCCCATGGTCATTGTATCTATTACATGAAGAAATGGGAGAAGAGAAAAAGAAGAAAACTCAAGTTAGTTAGGAGCCATATTTAAGTATGGCAAAACTAACGTGGCCTACTTACTTATTTAATGAACTATTAAGTCAAAAGTGTGAACAGGTAAGTCTTTCACAGAGGGGCTGCCTTTCACCACCGCTGTTTTCTACAACTGTTGGCTGGAAGGTGGCCCCGTGTTGTAAGAAACTTCTTTAATTCCGTACAGACTGTGTCTGTATGGATGTTACTGACACAGGACTGCTGCCACCTCTGACATCCTCCGGCAGCAGGTCAGCACAGCACAGCCACCGAGGCTTTGTCTGGGGGTTGGGGTGGTGTTCCCCAAAGGACGGCGGCAGCTCAAAAGCCTCGGCCAGGAAATCACCTGAAGGCATCTCTGTGGCTCACCAGTGCCCCAGTTTCCATCCTCCAAGTTGTACTCTTGGCGTCTGCAGCAGCTGGAGTCTATTCTTTTCCTTTCTAAAGGTTACAGTGCAGCAATGTGCCTGAGCCCGTGCGTCAGAGCTGTCATTTCAAGCCATCTGCAACACGCTGCTGCTGCTGCTGATTTAAATGTTAACTTGTTCGCTCCTCAAAACATGCGAGAAGGAAGGGAAAGATCACGGACAATTATGTAGCACTTTGTAAGGCCTTTCTTGCCCACTTCCTTCCACAGACAGCGAAGACATCGGAGGAGAACTCTACAGATCCCAAACATACCCTAGTAGTGTGCTATTTAATTGCTTTAGCTACTTTTCTTTCCTTTTTCAGCGGCGCGCTCGAGGCTTACGTTCAATCGGTAAGAACGAGGGAGGGGAAGGAGTTTGCCCCAGTTTACCCCATCATGGTTCAGCTGCTGCAGAGGGCAATGGCGACCCTTCAGTGAGTGCATCTGGACAAACCCCTCACCCCGGGGAAGGGCAGTAACGCGGGTCTCGGTGCCACACGTCAACTCACCCGTCATGTAAATTATTTCCAAATCCATTCCAAATCCGTAAGCTTTACGCTGAGATGTGTTTACCTACTTCATCTATGAAACGTCTGTCTTCTTGCTTTACGTTCACGTTACAGGAACTCATTTATACACAAAAATTATAAGGAAATCGTACCATCTTCTGTGCTGTAAATCTGCATCTAATATTCTTTAGTATTCCTTTTGAATTTAGGTATAAAATTAGAACGTACTCAAATATTACAGTATAATTGCTGAATATCTCAAATAAGGAAGCAGCTCTTTTCCTACAAGTATACTTTTAAACAGTTGAATTCATTTTAGCCTTATTCAGAAAAGCGTACTTTTGAAATGCTAGAATCATCAGTTTCCATCTAAAAATCACTAATTTTAACACAAGGAAAACTATTTATAACCAACATGTTTCTCTATTGCGCTGCTGCTCGCTTTGAAATAATTTATATTGACTACAACTGTCTTTTTTGTCTAAATTGTAATAAAGACCATTGACTGTCCAATCCCCAGTTCAGTCCCTGAAATTCTTTAGCAGCTTCTGAACTAGGAAACAGCAAGACGTCCATCACCTGGGTTCGGGTAAAGACTTCTCTGCAGAACGTGCTCATCCCCGCGGGGCCATCTTAATGATCAGTCACCTTCATTTTAGACAATACGCAACAGCAAATTTTAATGAATTTATTTGTAATAATATACAAGAATATAGTGTGCAAAAATCTTAGGGGCAACATCATGTAGACACGTGTCATAAACTGAAATTTACAGTTGTGATTCTTAAAAAACAAACACACAGCTGTTTAGTACATGGAAAGCCATGATTGTAAAAGTTCACAGCAGAAGCAGTTGTAATCCTAACGCAGCTGCTCTAATTTTAGACAGTCGGAGGAAAAAAAAAGTAAAGTGCAAGTGTTGCACGTATAGTTAAGTGCAAAGTTTGCCCCCACCATAAAGATGTCTTATGGCAAAATAAAATATTGTAGAATATGTGGCAAAGACTGTAAAACGGAGTTCAAACTACGATGGTGACAATATCGACAGCACCATTGTTCTTGAGACAACGCTGTTTATCGGTCTCACCCTGGCCTGGGCTGATGTTTCCTCTGCTGGTGTGAGAACATCTGGGTTGTGGGTGCAGCCCAGGCCGGCTCCGGTGCTGCGTCGCGCTACGCTCTCCACTTACCACACGTCCGGGAACTGGTTGGCACCTGGGCAGGCTGGGAAGCTACAGGCTGATAATACATTTTGCCATTTCAGAAAATCCCAGGTCCCAGAATCGTAATTAATAATATGGTTGTGCAATACATATTAATCAGCAATAAGAATCAATGTATATAAACAGCTGTTACATATTTTAAAATTCCCCTTTTTGTACATTTTCTTTTAAAAATAAACATTTATACACGTCTCCTTCGCCTCTTTCTAAAGTACTTTAGCACCACAGGATATCCATTTTCAAGCCTATATTACCTGATACATATATGAAGTTTGGAAGAAAAATAAGGCAATTTGGTTTAAATGTTGATAGTTTTAGCTTACTTAATGTTCTATTGTAAAAAGCAAATCTGCACTCATATTAAATCATTTCCGACTCGATGGTGCCAGCATTTTATGGTCGTAGAAAGTCACAACTAGTAAGACCTTGATCTTGCATCTTCTTGCCATCAAGCAACAGCCACGTTGTAAATACAGAGCTACCAGGGAAATGCTGGCTCAATGCTGTTGTGAGCCCTGAGAACAGAGGAGACAAAACCAGGTTAGTGGTTACCAAGCAAAGAGAAAGTATGTTGTCTTAAATCTCACAAGCACTTGTTTTAAAAGCCACAAGTCCTTGTACCCATCGGTCAGTTATTCTGAAGAAAACAAAAAGGTGGAAACAGATGATTTTATCCCCCAACCATCAGAAGACCATCAAGACTTCTTTGTCCCAGCCTGGAGTCACCATCACGACCTGATAAGGTAACCAAGCTGCAAACAAAATTCTTAGTTCGCTGAAGTAAAACAATTAAAGAAGGTGTTGTTGGCTGTAACACTGAGGTAGCAGGCCCTACAGATGCTCTTATCTTGGCCCGAAGACGACAAGGACAACCCTACTCCAAGGTGAGACCAGCTCCTGCTCACTGAGGGCGCCCCAGCAGTACTGCTCCCAGTTACACACAGACACCCCATGGTGTTCCTTGGCACTCCCCGCAGCACGTGTGGCCTGAACCTGATTTCACTGTCCAATGCCCACAGCTGCAACGGTGTAAAACCAGAATAAATAAATATTACTTCACCTAAACCCATGAGGCAATCTAACAGAAGCTGTCGCTGTTGATAAAAATAGAAACAGTGAACAGAGAAACAGCTTGTTCCCAGCAGCTGGGATTTGGTGAAACCTTCTGCAACAAGGGACTGAAAACTCAGCACCAAGTACCTACAGGAATAAGAAGCAACTTGGTGCTGGAGCATTTCTTACTCAGTCTTAAGGCAACACCTGAAAATGCTCTTGAAAAAGTCAGCCTCATTTACACATGAAAGGAAAGGGGTTAATTTGAGGGTGAAATCTTAAACCTGTGAAGTCCACAACACACTTGATGCTCCTACTCAGGCATGAAACGACTGATGAAAGGCCCTGGCATTCGTGCACCTCAGTGGACATGTCCTTCCAACCTATTCTTCTACTGAAACATGCAGGTTGGCTCCTTTTTTTTTGATGTTCTCTTTATATGATGTATTTGCTTGGAAGCCCTTACCCTACCCAATACATCCACCACCCACTAACAGAACGCTGCAGACTTTCACCTTGATGGCCTTCTACAAACTGGAAAACAAATTATTTCACTACAGAAGTGTCTGTGTTGTATTCATTTTACAATTAAAACATAGTAATAAATGACAGGGATTAACGGAAAAAAATTAATTTGCTCCCGTAATAACTTCATATATGCTGATATAAACTAAGAGTAAGAAAGAGAGAAAATGGTAAAGAAAAAGCTTTTCCTGGAGGAAAAGGAGACTGTTTCAATCACAACAGAGGAGGATTTTCTGAAAGTTTAAGTGTTTTTGAGGGCAGTGGACAGATGTAATTTAGGTACAACCTTAAAAACTCAGTTCCTTCAAACTACAGGTCACGTGCCCTTCCTCTGCGTCTCACCAGCACCCTCCTCCAGCCCAACGCTCAGACAATGTTCAGCGACAGCCCCTCTCCCGCTCCATCTCCTGCCCACCGGCCAAAGGCAGGTGGTCACCCATCACGGGGGAGCACAATGAAGGTCTGGGCTACCAGGGAAGACATCGGGAGCAGAGTTTATCCTCAACAAAACCCACTGTAGCTACTGTGGGAACACCTGTAACTGCACAATGAAACGACCGCTTCACAGACATACCGAATTTGTTCGTTTTCGTTTCCAACAGTCAGGATTTAAACGTTTCTGTTCTTCCGCCAAGGCCTTGGCTTCTAGCGTGTACATCCGTCTTTCCTCATTCTTCATTTTCTTCCACCTGTCACCGAGTATCACGCTTATGGCTCTGCAAGAGAGATGTTTACAGTATGAGCAGGACAGGGTGCTTTTTTTCCTTTTCATCTCAGCACTTTAAAGAAGAGAAAAGTTAAATGCTGAATTAATACAGAAGAAATCAACTGTATCTTTTAAAAATTATTTTTTGAACAATCATGTTTCTGATTATCTTCTCATACTTCTTTTAACAGTTGAACAGCTGAGACTTCTGTGTCAGCTGAGCAAGGGTGAATGCACATTCTATCATTTCAAAGGGGGTACATTTGAATACACAGCAACTCGCATCAACCAGAAAAATAGGGATGTTAAAAAAAAAAAAAACACCACCAAATGGTAACTCGCCTTTGTTTTGCTCTACTTTCGCACTAGAAGATCATATGACAGCTTTGCTGAAAATATGTTCTCTAATAATTAGGGCAACGATCTGACTATGACCTCAGCCAAACAAATATTTGATTAGCTGCATTAAACGCCGTGTCTGTTTAGTGGAAGCGCAGAGCTTCTGTGACCTTTAACCCACGCTGGGGAGAACAGGAGTGGGCGGAACACACGGGTAAGTTCCCGAACATCCTGGTAAGTTCCCCTGCAAAAGGCACGGTTTGTTCTAACACACCTAGCATTATTGCCACAAGCTCAATGAATTGCTTCTCCTACTTCTTATGAACTTGTCTTTTGGACAGTACTTCCCTGTATTATCGTGCCACGTTACTGAACCGCACTCCTGACCGGGAGATCAATATCCCATTAAAGCTCTCACTCCGTCCTTTACCTGAATGAAAATCTCAAAACAACAGCTCTTTTATCAATGACAATTACTAGAGTACTGAGAGCTATGCTGTGCCTTCAGATTACAGCTTTAAGTAGAAAGTGTGTACGGCTAAGTACTCTGCTTTAGCATATTAAGAAGTTCCTTGCTGGCAGCAAAGCTATTCATAGAGTTCCTAGCAGAACCAGGGAGAACAGTCTGCCATCAGCCACTTCCACCGCCTTTCACAGACGGCAGCTCTAAAGGCTTTCCTGCACACACCACACAAGAAAATGGATTTAAATTCTGCAAGGCTGTGTCGTTTCCGTGGTTTTCTATCCAAATTCAGAACCAGTATCTCTGGTCTGTCATCAGAAGTAAATCCACTCCAGTTTCATTAGCAGATGTTTCATGTTTTGGAAGTATCGAGAGGCCAATCACCAGCACCAGACACCTGTCTGCTTTTGGTCACCACTCTGTACTGGGTCACTCCTACCCCCGGGAAAGAACACAGTGACCCTGAGACAGCAGGTTTGCTGAAAAACCCACTGTGTCTCCAAATAAAAATGCACTATGAAATCTTTTCTATTTCAAACGCAAAACTCTCTATCTATTTTATACCTCCACAGAAGAAAACTGCACGGAGGCACTGAAAGTGAGTACAGGTCTGTATGTTTCAAAAAGCTTGAAAAATCTAATGCAGAGAAAAAAAAGCTCAATTTCTCCAAGGAAACATTTCTATAAGTGAACCACTGAGACTGAAAAAAGCTGTGTACAGAGGGATTTCCTGACATGACAGACACCTAATTCTCCTGCCCAGAAACAAGGTAAAAAAACCTGGCCCTACTGCCCCACTGCCTCTGGTGTCCTCCACCTCACCAGAACCTGGCCGGGCTCTTTCACTGCCCTCTTACAACACTGGTAAGACACCTGACAACATTTCAGCAACAGACTGATGTGCAGGGTGCAATTTATACTGCAGTTAGCGCAAAAGAAATTGTCAAACAGTAGTTGTGAATGCCTGGAGTTTACAGAGTCATTATGTTCATCACAAACAAATGCTGTTAATAGTTTGGGTGATTTTCTTCATCTTTAGAACATTCTACTCAAATTATTCAACTATCTTTGAACACACAATCAAGTCCAACTACTGTTACAGTGAGAATACCTAGAAAAGAAGCAAGCACTTCTCTAACACCAGTTTCTCAAGCACAGTCCTACCCTCCATGGTATTTTTAGGTATCATATGAATGTTGACTTACGTCTCGGATGTTTACCGCTCGCTGTCTTGTTGACGAAGTTGAGCTACTTCGTCTCAGAACAGAGGGTTTCACTCACAATCCCTCAACTTCTGTCGCTTCTTACGCGCACGAGAGAAACAAAATAACTGTAGCACACTTAAGAGCCCCAGTGTGCAGAAACAGGCACTGCATGTACCCAGCAACAAGATCTACTCACTAATCTGGAAACGACACACACTTGCATTTAAAAAACATGAGTTGCCTCTGAACAGCTACATTAATAAATGCCCGAACCACACTTCAGCACCAGTAGCTGAATGCTCATAAAATCAATTACCACTAACTCTTATTTCTCCTGTACTACATTTTGTGGATGCCAGGAGACTGCACCCAAGTGCACTGCCTTCCAGCTGGGACAGCCAGCTTTTTGTCACCACTGTCCTTCCAGGTAAACCTGCTCACTGAAACCTTCCAGTTATTTTCACACCCATCCAGCTGCAGCTCCAGTTCCCTGCATCCACTGAAACAGCATTTTCAGTTAAACACATCCCCGTCACGGAGCTGACGCTCCGGCTGGTTTCTCATCGGTCGCTGTAACGCGTCTGAAGGCACCAGATCTGCTCCACCGAGACGACTATAAACATTGCAGAACATCGCTGCCAGGACACACGAGGCTGGCTGGCATTTAAGGATGGGTTATTTGCATGGTAAGATTTTGTTTCTCAACACCACTCACAGCCTCCTTAGTAGAACATTATGAAACAGCCAAAGCCCTCCCCAAGCCCTGTCACCTTTAGTTTTTACCAGATTTTGTACTCAAATTTTCATGTGATGATGCAATTTTTACAGTAATGTTTTTCAAAATGTTATAGGCATAAAAAGATGTGATAAGATCAGGGCACGTTCACGCTGTCTAGTTTATATTTACATATGCACAATTAGCACATAAGACCATTTAAAACATATATAATGGACATCTTTTAAAAAAAAAAAAAAGTTTAGACACGGATGTGCATATACATTAAAAAAAAATAACAAACCAGCAAAGAACCTTCCCCCAAACACACGGGTCTTATGACTCCTCCCACAAGTTTCAGCAGATTGTTCAATGCCTTTAGGACAAGCAAAATTTGGCAGTGTAAGATCTTTCAGGTATCCTCACAATCTGTACTCCATTATTCAAGATGATACACAGACTGAGAATAAATGGTAACCACTGAACAATCTGCAATATTATGTCAGGACTTAATGAGAAGAACCAGAAATTCCCTTTTACCACCACAGCACAGCAGCAGAGCCTGGTGTACTTTTTCCCCAGGAACATGAACAAAGACTGCTGTGTGTTTGTGACTCTGGGGGTGCACATACACACATATGTCAGTTGCTTCACCCAAACCATTTCTCAGAAGGTAAGTTTGCCAAATGGCTTCTGTCAAAGGTACTGAATACTGTAAATATTTAAAGTCCACCCATAAGTTAAGCTTTGTGTCAGCACCTTTCAGAACTTGTTCTGAAAACAATATGTGCACGTTTTATTTCAAATGCAAAATTTAGTCCACTTAAATTTTAAGGTGGAGACAGACACCCTGCTATCTCACCAGTAATAATAAAACTACAATTTTATACCATTACCTGTTGTCTTTCCCTGGATACATCTGAGTATATTCAACTCTGTATTTTTTGGCAAAAAGCATGAAGGCATTCATTGGTCTTTTGCACTTGTTTGGAGAAGTGGCACTCACAGTACTTGCAGTCCCTGAGCTGTGGCTTTTGCCAGCTTTACTGTACAAAGAACTGGAGGAAAGTTGTGATGAGGCAGTAGGTGCACAGTTTTTACTACTGCTTTCTGATCTCTCAGCATCTTGATTGTTTGATCCTCCACAAGACAGAGACGCGCGACGCTGGCGAGCCATGCTGCTTAGCACATAAACTGCAGAGGAATCCATCGGGGTAAAATCGTAACTACAAGAAAAAGACAGACCATAAAACAATCCAGCAATTTTCACGTAAAAATCTCTAAACAGCTGTTTACTCTTCACCTGCACTAAATTTCCAGTATTCCGCTATCTTTTGTGTGACATAACGAAAGTGTGCTTGATGCAGATGTCAGTGGAAAAAAAGAAAAGTTTGGCAGATGAATTAATGGCTTTTCCAAAGCAACAGCAGATTGCAACTTTGCAAGACCTGCTGTGTACTATCACCTGCCCAGCTGTATGTCAATTAATTATACAGTGTCTTCAAATTTCATCCTCTTTTGAAATCAGTTTCACTCTTTTTTTCTGCTTCTGTCCTTACCATAAAGCCAATCTTGTCAGTTACTGATATGTACTGAAAGGGACAACTGAGGAGCTTTGAGTTCACCTGCAGATATATTTAATCACAAATACGAAACCATTATATGAAAATAAATTATATTATATACACTACAAATAACTTCTCTAGGCAGTTATGTATTATTTTACAGACAAATCTTCCACTGAGATTAAAAACTTCCTCAAAGACCCGTGACGTTACACACTGTTTGACTCAAAGCTGACAGACGGCTGCCCTCTAGTGACAAAAATGTGAAATTCCTCAGTATTTCAAGGTATCTCGACAACTTGGCTGAGCTGTTCCACACATTTAGATCTCCAAATACTATATAAACTGTTACAATTTTTGTTGTCCAACAACTACAATTAACCTCTAACCACTGCTGAGGTTTAATTCCACAGACTATTTGGATACCATCTCCAAGTGTGTGCAGGGCACTGTAGGAACCACAGGCTACGCTGTCTTTAGCGTGTTACGTGGGGAAAACACACTTGTAAAGATGCTATTAATCATAAATCCAAACCACTAAGTTACCACCACAAACTAAACACAAAATGTGTATCTATCTAAAGCTCCTCTCACCCACTGCTCAATCTGGCTACAGCTGCATAATTTATGGCAAGAATAAGAACTTTGAAGGGCTTCTTCCCAAACACAATGTAGAACTGCTGGCACGGAAGCACTGCACGTGGTAGTGCAGACCCCATCTGCACAGGCAGCCCCTTTCTCTGAATGGAACCAAAAGCAAAGGTGGAGCCGAGCAGGTCATCTCCAAAATCCCTCAGAAAAGTAAAAAGCAAGAAAGGATAATGCCGACAACCTTGCAGGTTTTAAGAGAAAGGACCTCTCTGTTCTACAAACAGTCCAGCACTCTTCCTATCCCTGATCTCTTTCCCATAACACAGCAACAGGGGTTTCTTTTTTGATTCTTCTGCCCCATGAACCACAGCTGCTGTTGCACACTCCTTTCTCAGTGACTTCCTCCCTTTTGCACAGAAAGAGACAAGAAACCTGACGTGTCAGAGCAGTATTCACCTGGGCTGCAGGTTGAGTAAGAAGCCAAAAGTCCAACTTCTTCAGTGAGATGTAAATATAATGATTTCTAACAGCTGTCTATATATACAGTTCAGAACAGGAGGTATTAAGAAAAAAGCCCAGACAGCAAATAAGGGAAGACAAGCAATTTGGACTCCATCAGACTGAAATCATACAAGAGCTCCTAGAGCTTGAACTGCAAAAGGCATTTTAATTACAATTTTTTCTATTGTAAAAAAACAACAAAAAAACCCAAACAAAAACAAAAATCAAAAAGCAATCAGACTAAAAGCAAATGCTAAAAAGGAGCTAACATCATAGGAGAAGATGGAGTCTAATAAATCTACAAATCCAAAAATAGTATGGAAAAATCTTTGTGAGTAATACTATTTCCTAAGAATGATTTCTGTTGGACAGGACCTCGGAAGGTTATCTGGCTGAACCTCTTGCTCAAAGCAAGGCAAACCTCAAAGTTAATCAAACTCTGAAGTTAGTTAAGTTTGATATATTAAAAGAGAACCACAAAAAGCAGAATACACAAAACCAGTAAGAAGTAATTACAAAGCACTGTATTCTAAAGCCATAGCTCATGCATTAATTACTAGAAACTGCTCAGATCTAATTCTGATGCATAGCTGCGTATGATGCACAAGTTAATAGCTGGCAGACATACTATTGTGGGAAAACTATACTAGGTTTTTCAAACATAACCCATTTTACCTGAAGAATTTATACAGATAATACTTATTTTTTACTGCTTTACTTAATCTGGCTTAAACTAGCATAAACAGGGGCTGAAAAGTTATTTCTCTCCAAGACACTACTTTGCAGTTTAGCAGAGCACATAATTACACAGCTTTCCTACTATTCAGTCTTCATTTTTTCCCTCTCATTTATCTTGCATTACCAGTATTCTCTCTTTGCTCTACATAATACTTCAAATTCTTGTAGACTTAAGGTGCCTACTTATTAAATACAAAAACCACTGAGGCCACTTTATCCAAAAATTACCTTTTAAATGTATCAAAAACACCTGAATCATCAAAGTTAATGGCATCAGGGTGTCCAGGAGGTAGACACAGATCTCCAAGATGCATTTCACAGCATGGAATGCCATGCTGTACCACAGTCAAGCTTGGATAAAAAGATGACCAACCTGAAGTGGTAAAGAGTTAAATTAGACAAACGGCCAAACAATCTCTCTAGTTCTTAACCGGAGCAATCCTATAGCTCTAAATGATATCATTTTATAAAAATGTTCCAGTGCAGTTTCTTTCACCCAAAAGAAAGATGAGGAACACTTACAGAATTCTTACCGCAAATAGTTTATTTTTATCTTAAGCAAAATCTCATTCTAGGAAAAAAAGTAATCTAAAACCTGGAAACTTTTATCATGACAAGTTTCATGTTTAGCAAGTGAGAAAAGCCTCCCTTATTTGCAGCCTTCCTTTCTCCCCCCAATTTTTCTGTTTTCCTGAGCTTCATTTACATACTTGACCAAATCTTTCCGTAAGAGATATGCAGTATTCCAGTAGCTTTACAGTTTTGTTTGTTCAAATTCTGGATTTCTTTACAAAGATAGTCAATCGATTCTACAACACTGCCCTTATCGATTTCTTGAGCAACATGCGACGCCAATGAACTCTGCAACCACTTTCTAAGAATATTTTTATGTACAACCAAGTATATTCGTAGGTTTTCATACCTTTATTTTTAACATAAAAAGGATGATCGAGTCTGCATTCTACCGTAAGCAAGCCATCTTCCACTGTGCCAGGGTCAAAAGTCAACTTCAGCACTGACTCACCAAAGGAAATGCTTTCTTCATGAGAAATCAACTTCAAACCATCGGCACCGTAGCCCTGTGAACATACGAACAGCTCAAAAATATTCCCCCAAGGAAAGCGTATACCTATGTATACTATAGGTGTATATTCATCATCTTACATTATATTAAAAAATACCAACATTCTAAGTACTCTGGCCAGAACAAAGAAAATGTAACATTCAAAACATACCGAAATGAATTCAGTTCAAATGCCTTATAGCAAGATACTCAAACAGCACCGTGATCAGTTCCAGTTAAGCTCAGCATAAATGCATTTTACTGAGACAGTAGTTCAAGGCACACGGATAACACAGGAAACTAAATATTGTACTACAGATATTAAAATTAATTTACTGGAACTAACAACCACCTTGTAAGGACTCGCTGGGAGATTTTCCTCTTTTCCACAGCCTTCAGATCTTGCAAAATCTTCAACATCCTGCCATTCTTTATTGCGTCCTTTATGAAAGCACAAACGAGAGCCTAATAGATTTTTTTCAAACAAAAAAAAAAGCAAAAAAAAAGCTTAGTGTTATGTAAAAAAGTCTCTGTTACAAATTAAAAAAAACCAAACCCAAGAGAAAACACAGTTATCCAACAGTATGTGTTATTTTACCTTTTAGAAAACAATGCCAAACAGTTGAGGGCCAGGAATGGCACCATCCTAAATCATCATCATCTGAAAGTGATGACATGCAGAAAATGCCAGATTCTGATTCACTATTCGCCTATTAAAAAAAGCAAAACGGTGTTGAGATTTTACTATGTAAGATTTTAGGGCTGGTCTTAAACATCGTTAGACACATTCTCTAATTTGCATCTGTATCATAATTTCGCCTTAAGTACTAACAGGAATGTAACATGAAAACAAAGATTCAAGGAATGCTGTAAATGGGGATGAGTATTTTCATCTCCTTTCCTTGAAATGCTCTATCCTGTACTTTTTGGTTTTCATCATTTGAGATTCACGAGGACATTCACAGATCATCCTAGATTTAAATATAATCATTTTACAAGGTATTATTCCCTGGCCATTCACAGAACCACTCAAAGCACACATTATTCAATGGTCAAATTACTGGAAAGCTGTAGAGCCATGTCTGCTCTACAGAAATCACTGGGAAAAACGCCATGTTGCTAACAGACAAGCTTCAGACACAAATTAATACACAGGAAAGGGAGAAGCAGGACTGACAGGTTTTGTGCTAAAAGGAGGTGGTTCCATACTTCATTTGTGAAATAGCCAATAAGTTAATACAGTTTTTAAAAGCTTGCTATAGAAGGAACTACGAGAGAAGCAGAGTCTTCTTAGAACGTGATCTCTTCACAAAAAAAGCAGACTATGCAATGTAGGCACTACAAGCCTACTGCATTTCGTAAAAAGAAAAGTAATAGAAATTCTAGCTTAAACAGAAATGGTATTAGAACTAAACAGATGATTTTCTAGAACTAGTTTCTCTTTTCAAAAAGTGCAACCTATTACTCAGGCAGCTTTGTTTATTTTAGAGATGTTTCAGAACAACTCACCCTTTCATGTCTGACTGGTGTTTCATCCAAATCATTCTTGGAGAAGTTAGGATCATTCTTTGAGGATCCTGGTGGAGGACGTGCATAGGAATGTAAACTTTTGCTTGTAGCTATTATGTGAACAGGAGATGATCTACAATAGAAAAACGTATTTTAAAATATCTCAGATTAAGGCAACACAAGACTTACTCTCCAATACTCTAAAATGCTTTTATTTAACAAGTATTTCTGTTTCCGTGAGCTGAATACCAAATAAACTTCCCCCACAACATTCAAATAAGATAATTAAAGGGTGCAAGCTCAGGCAATGGGAGTATTTAGCATAACTCCTGCATAGCTTCTATATACCACCCAAATGACAGTACTACCTGCCCATCAGCATCTCCTTGTCACAACGCTGAAGTTTTTACAAGTATCTTAAAGTGAATATCCCATTCTTAGAGTACATAAAGACATCTGTTCTGTCCTAATGATTAAATCCCAACTGCACTACTGTTAACAGTACTGTATTTCATTTTCTTATTATAAACCTAAGACCAGAGCCATACAATAGAAGGTGAAGCCTAGAAATTTCTAAGGTCCCACAGTGCTTCTCACAGCCTTATGGAATTTATAAATGACAAATCTGAAACAGTATCAATAAAAAATACATTGCATTAAATTAAAAAAAAAATAAATCTAAAGTCACTGCACTAGTAATTAGAATTTAACATAACAAATTCATCTTAATTTTTCATCTGCTGCTTCACATGAGGTAAATGCCCATAATTTCTGAGCCTTCTGTGGTTAGGCAATGTCCTTATACCACCCTGCCTCTTTTGTGGCTGGCAAGTAAGCAGCTTTTGCAACAGGCTCTGAAATGAGTCCTGTGCAATCTTCCGCAGAAGAATCAAGTTGCTGTACAGAAAGATGACAAATATGGCTCCAGTTCAAAGTCCGAGTGTGTGAAGAGTGAAGGAAATGTTTCTGGAGACATAATTATTACAAGTCTTAAGAGTTCAACATTGAGATTTATGTCAGTACCTGTTATAAAAAGAGCACTGCATCAAAGGACTCTGAGGACTTGTGGCTATATTTGCTAATTCTGTCAACCAGTTCACCCCGTTCTCACAAGAATAAGCACTTTCTGAATTGCTGTTTGAGGTATGTTGGTTCCATGAAGGCCTTGAACATTCCTGATGTGAAACATCGGCACCAAGCTGAAAAAGTGCAGGTGGGGTGGAATCCGTCTGCACAGCCTGTAGTTCAGGAAGATCATCTACAAACAAATGCACAATCACCATAATTATAGCCATTGGTAAGTTCTAGTTGACACCAAATCTTGCAAATAAAAATAAAAAAGGAAGCACAATGAAGTAGCTAATTTTATTTTCTCATATCACAATTACCAGCATTTCACAAACCCTATTCATAATACTGAAATAATGGCCACATAAATAATCACATCTCCAGTCTGTTATACATTCATACAAGCAATTTAAGAAAAACATCAAGCAACTAGATAAAAATGCAGTTCTGTTTTAAACTAGACTGATTAGTTTACACAGAATTGTACCGCAGAATTGTGCAAAAGTAGCAACATGCTTCACTAAAATACTAAAACATTAAACAAAAGGAAACTAAATTAATCTGTCCTAGCAGGTGTGATACTAAAAATTACCAACATCAGGGGCTGGAATTATGTAACTCAGAAGTCAAGAAAACTGGGTATACAGCCTGCTAAGGGTTAATTCTTATCAATAATCTACACCTTTCACATGTTAGAATAGCAGAAGAGAGCCCAGCTTGTTAACAAAAGTCTGTTACACGCTCTTGTGTAACGAAGTATCGTTATTTTTAATCACTCCACTACTTCAATTAAATGTGTTAATATTTCACTGATAATATCATGCTTTCTAACTTACACGCTATTTTTCTCCAATATTTAAGAACTGAAGTTAAATGCTCCTTTAGCCCAGAATCTCTATTTGCAGCTCAACTGAACAGCACAATTTCCCTTTAGGAGGAGCTCTTGAGCTTTCTGTTTGTTATTCTTGTGCCAAAAAAAGCTCCTCTGGAGATTAGGAGCAAAAATGCGTAGCTCTGAGTTCAAGAACACATCTAAGTCAACAGGCCAGTGTGCCAGAACGGGAAACTGGGTTACAGGGAAAAGTGACTGCAAAATAAGACCTTCAGATGTCACAATTCACTGTTCATATTCCCTGCACTACTTAAGTTAAAAATCACTGATTTCATTCAGTCAGCTTCCAGTAATTTCACTATAGGAAAGCTAAAACAAATTTCATAATTTGGCTTCTTCTGAGTAAGTCATGTTATTTACCAAGTTCCATGTGTTCATCACAGGATGCATATCCAGGAGAAGAGGGCAGGTTTTCATTACACTTCAGCAACTCCAGTGACTCATTCATCCCTGAAGTTCTCTTGTCCACTACCAGGAGGAGTTTCTGAACTGCATTAGGCATTTGATTTGTCTTCACTTCCCACACCATGTTAGGATGCTCCAAAGTATCTGACTTTAAAGAGACACAGGTTAAAAATCTGTATACACAAACTGTTTTAAGTTGCATCTGACAGGCTAATTCATTACCAGAACCCTAAATCCTCCATAATCTGTTGAGAATGAACAGCTTGAAAGGGATCTCTAGAGATGATCTGGTATGATCCCTGCAGAAAGGAGAGCCAACCCTGAAGTCAGAAAAGGCCACTTCAGTTTCTGGTACCTTGAAGATGAAGATTCCCTGACATTTCTCAGGAACCTGTTCAGTGATCACTCTTGCTGTACAGAAGTTGCTCCTTATGCACGGTTTGAACTTCCCTTGCCACAGCCCATGCCCAATGCCTCCAAGAGTCTGGGGTCATGTTCTCAACGACCACTAAAGACAAGATAAGTAACATTCACTTAGGACCCTGAGCCATACATCCTGTCACAGAAGGCAATCAGACATAATTTGCCTTTGGTTAATCTGTCCTGGCTATTTCCAGTCACCTTCCTGCCTTATAAGAGCCAGGACACAGCTGTCAGGAGGATCTGCTCCACAATCTTCCTCAAAGCTAAGGTTAGGCTGACCAGCCTGTAGTTTCCCCACATCCTCCTCCTTGAAGCCAGGTGTTGACAGTGTATTTTTTCCAGTTATTGGGAGCCCTTCCACCACCAAATCCACCGCCCTTTGGAGATGAGACTCACAGTGACACTAGCCAGCTCCCCCTGACACATCCCACCTGGTCTCACAGAACTGGCCTGCCCTGAACTTGCTCTTCCTCTACCATGGACAAACAAGTCCCTCGCTCTGTCAGACGCACACTGCTAGGCCCAGGGACTCAAGGAACCTGGAAACAGGCCTTGCAAATAGAGACCAAAGCAAAGATGTCGTCCTTCAACCTTTTGACATTAGGTCTCCTACACCATTTAGCACCAGGCCCACATTTTCCCTAGTTGCTTTTTCATCACTGGCATATCCACAGAAGTCTTTTTCACTGCCCTTCACATCCTCTCCTATCTCTCAACTCCAGGTACAGTCTCAAACACATTTGACTGCTAACATCCTTATTTGAGTTGTAAACAGAAAGAAAAAGAAGCCTCTGCTGGTAGGTTTCACCGCAGTTTCGTTTCCCCAAATGGCAGTACCGTCCCGTCTACACCAAAAGAAATACTGTAAGTCACCTTCAGCGGGCAGAGAACTCTGTGATCATTCTACACAACCACTGCCTCTAAAAGCCGGAAAACAAGGTTATCCAGTCTTTAGTAATTTGGTTATCTACTGCTTTTTTCAGATGATGATGAATCAAAGCTTTCATAACATGATTACCTTGTACTTTAATGAAGTGTCATTGAAAAAGCAATCCTAAATTTACAAAAGAGTAGAAAACACAGCTTAGCAAGAAAATTTGAAGTCTACCACGTGCATGCCCACTAAATAAGCTATCCTGCACCACATTAGAGAAATACAAACAATAACTAAAAACAGCCTAATATTTTCACACGAAACAGCAAGCCTATCTCCCTAAAAGCTGCCTTAGTGTAACGCACAAAAAGCCATCGGATAACAATTATGAAAAAAACCCAGCTTTATTTTAATAAATGGTTAAAAAGTATTACATAGAGAGAGCCAACGTTAACAACATTCCATATTTTTACTCACTCTATGAATGTTTCATTCATTTTGCAACTTGTCCTGTACATAATATCGTTCAGACATGTGAGAAACCAACAGAACCCCGTATGTAATTCAATTACATACTGGCCCTACCAGAAAAGGCCTGTCCTAAGCAGTAACTTTTTTTTGTACTGAAAAGCTTCTGACTTTCTCATCTCCTTATATTTCAGATACATGCAAAACTTACATCAACTTGCATTCCAAACATAAAGACGTTTGATCCTACTCAAATGACACTACTACAAAAGCCACAACAGTGCAATTCTGATTTTAAGGAGTTTGAGAGGGAAGGTAAGAGGAATTAAAACACAAAATCAAATAAACTATCAATGGCATCTTTAATGCAAATTATTCCTCTATCACCCATAAGGGACAGTAAAATTACAGAATACCACAAGAGCAGAAAGTTCAGTCATTTCTGAACAGAAAAATCAGACCTGTACTCATAAGTACAGGTCAGGACCTTGATGATTATCTCCAAGTAATCAACTCTGAAAAGCCACTCTTGTTTTTCTGGCTTGTCTGCAGCCTTAACCCCCCC